CGCTCAGAATCGTTTTTCTTATACAATGATATTGAATCATTGAATTCAAATTTCATAGCATCCATTATACAGTGACCCACTTGTAACCTACTGTACAGCAGACCGACATCCACTTACCCACCTTTTTTTTTTTTATGAATATCAATAAAAATTTATTTGTTGAGTAAAAATACTTGAAAATTTAATACAAGGCTCCTACTATATTGTTACAAAGACAGATGAAAAATATTAAAAATCGTTAGTCACAGCTTCTTTTTTTTTTTAAGCATTTAAAGTTCAAAAAATGACAAAAGATGGAAAAATCACGAAAATTTGCAAATTATTTCGAGTTAGAAATTCATAAAAATTTTTCTTTTTAAATCTAAGATATGAAAATGTAATACAAGATTCCTTATGAGATTTCCTACATTTATCAAAAAAAAAAAAAATTCTATAAGAAAGTCAAATTAAATTTTTATGAGCGTTTGAAATTCAACTTTTTACAACATTGGATATTCACTCGATTTCTCATGTGGCGATTTCCTTATTTTGTTGTAATTCAAAAACGAATTACTGTAGATACATGAAAATTTCACTGAATGTTTATATTAGCATTTCCTATACACCATACAATTTTGAAAATATTTTGAGCCGTTTACGGACATTTTCAGTTTTCAATTTTTTTAGTTTTTTTCTTCTATAAATATTAATAAAGTTTTATCTGTTGGGCCAAAAAGTGTGAAAAATTAATACAAGGCTCCTGATATATTGTTACAATATTAATTGAAAAATATTAAAAATACATAGGCACAATTTTTTTTTTATAAGCATTTAAAGATCGCATTTTGACAAAATTTATCAAAATCTCGAAAATTATCAATCATCGTAATTAATAAATTATAAAATGTTCAGTTTTTATAGCTAAGGATTGAAAATTTCAAAAAAAGATTCTCATAAATAGTTCATACTGTAGCCAAAAAATCTAAAAAATATATGAGCACAGTTATTTTTTACAGACATTTTAAGTTCAAATTTGGGACGAAATTACATAATCAAAAACCTAGCATACCTATTTTAGTTATTTTGTTGTGAGTGTATAATACTATTCGTGGGTACTTGAAACTTCTAAAGTACTCTATATTATATATCTATGATAGTATCAGGGTTTGTTATTGATGTATAACGTGTTATAAGTACCTAATGGATATTGTGATATGATTAATTTGGAATTTATTATAGGTCAATTTTTTTTTTAATACCATAGATATGTATATAATATGTCTTAAACCTAGACTGACATACCGTCTTCGCTCAGAATCGTTTTTCTTATACAATGATATTGTATCATTGGATTCAAATTTAATACCATCCATTAAACAGTGACCCACTTGTAACCTACTGTACAGTAGAGCGACATCCACTTACCCACCTTTTGTTTTGTTTAAGATAGTACCAATTGTGAGGAGCCGTCTATCAACATTTATAATGTTAGCTATGAAAGGAAAAACTTTTATAAATTTCTAACTGAAAATTTCCAAAAAAATTTGAAGGACTCTAAATTCTAATATTTGATATAGGTACCTATAATCATTACAAACAATAATTTGTGTTTCTGGCGTTTCTGCTAAAAACGAAGAAGAAAAAAAAACCTTAAGTAAAGCTAAAGAAAACTATTTTTTTCATATGATTTTTCAATTTTTGCTATTTTTGAACTGGGGGTGCTAAATTAAAGTTTAGGGGTGATGAAGCATCCCCCTAGTTGCGCCTATGTATACGAATCAAAAAATATATTTTATTAATTATCAACCAACGAATTTTTATAATTTCAATCAAATTATTATTCATTCAGTGATATTTTGATTAAATTATAATTAAAATTGTATGGAACCAAGTATTTTGAATTTATTAAATCAACAATGATTAGTTAATTCAATAAAACCTATTTTGTTACTTATTTGTATAAATATAATAAAATAATTATTTGTTTTGATTAGTTCAAGAAAAATTGTATTTAATTAAATAATTTGAGTTTGTTAAATTAATATTATTTATTATAAATTCAAGAAAATCATTTTATCGAGCTATAAGTTTATAACGAAAATAGATTTTTAGACAAGTACCCCAACCTATGGCAATGATCCCAGTTTTATTATTATTTATACCCGTTGCCCGTTGCCCTTTGGGTTTTCCATTAGTAAGTATAGGTAAAATAATAAATAGTAAGGTAAAATGTATAAATATTATTTATTGATTCAAATATTGTCATATTATCATATCTACTATCGTTTATTACTGTGTTGTTTTGATGTCTTCTGCAGTCGGTCGTTGGTGTTACAACTTACAACATCTTAGTTACAGTTTCCGTTACTCGTTAGGTACTACCTACTTATACAGTTTGCAACTTTCGAGTTGTCTTCTTATAGTTACTACAATATTACCTATATGCAGGCGTGACAAAATGGTATATTGTGTAGCAAGGGTGGGAAGTGAGCCACACGCCCACACATACTATTTTTTGTCACGCCTATAACGATATGTGTAACCGGCAGCATATTAACAAAGTGTACATGATCTCGGCACTGCATATAGAATAACCCATTTTCATTGGCCGATTCAAAACCTATTCATTTTACCGCGCATTTTACTGCCGCAGATATTTTGATAACGAAATTATTATCAATTACATTTGCTAGGTATATATATAATATATATATAATGTATTTATTACTGAGTAGTAAAATATAATAGTTATGAAAGTAAATATTATAAATTATATATATAAATGGAATTTGTATTTGGGGATAGGCATACAACTTACATACTTATCGTCTTAATAGGTTACCTTAAATAGATTAATTACATTTTTATTACTAAAGTCTTAGGTATTATAACAATAATTCTTCATATTTAGATATTAGTGTATCACCCACAAATAGTTTATATTTTAGTAATACTTTACTTGGCTTATTTAAATTTAGACAAGGTAAATCCCTTGTATAATACGCGTTATAAAAAAAATGTCAATATATCTAAAAATTTAATAAGCAAATTGGAACCAAATTTTGTATATATTATGTTGAAATTCAAATATGTAGACTTCTAAAAATTAATATTCATGACTTTTTTAATTTAAATACATTTAAGTCATATAAAAAAAAAATTGATTTTTCTGAAATTTACCTATTTTAATTTAGTATTTGTATTTGTATTAAAATTTATTTTTTTATGGAATCATATTTGCTTGTACAACATTTTGTACACTAAAAATTAATTAATGTATAATTTGTAAAACGTTGATTGTAATGAATTCAAATTTTTCATCCCCTCCACAAGCATTATGCTTATAACTAGTTATAAGGTAGTTCGCATCTATTTTTTTTTAATTTTATTATATTATTTCATATGTATATTATTATTTGTTTTGCGAGAAATAAATGTTAAACATTTTTATTATTATATGGTTCTATATTTAATATTTTAATTATTGTTTGACTTTATATTCGACTTTCGAAATAAAAAAAGGTTAATTTAAATTATGTATAAATTGTTATGAGACAATATTTAGACAAACCGATGTAATACCCTAAAAAGTATTGTTCTCTATAATTTTTGTGATGGGTGAATATTACACACTAACAGTGGCGGCGCCAGGGGTGGGCCAGGGTGGGCCCAGGCCCACCTTAAAAAGTCTCCGGCCCCTCCTGTGGCCCACCCCAAAAATTAAATTTAATCATATTAGAATACTAAAAAATATCTCATGAATAAATCATGATTTATTAAAATATGAAAATATTAAGTCATAATAGATGGCGTGAACAATATTTTGAATGGGTTGAAAACTATATGCACTATAATATGCTTTCAAGCCTCATAATTCATAAATAACGTGTATTTTCCAGCGGCTGAATACGAAAATAATAAATTATTATTAAATATTCATTGGTATTGAGTGTAATTATGGGTTAAGGAGCATAAAAATCAAAAAGTGTTTACATGAATATATTATATTTTGTTAGCAAATAAATACTATTAATACAATACATGTTTACAAATCATTGTTTTAGTAAGTTTACACGATGAAGTGTAAAAAAAATTGGAAGTTGACCCTCCCCCTCTCCCCTCAGCGAAATTGCCAGTCATCACTATTGTTTATATATACCTATATATATATCAAGTCAACAATTTGGCCCTCCCTAAAAAATTTGGGGCCCAGCCTGGCCCACCTGGTATTAAAGTTCTGGCGCCGCCACTGCACACTAACGTATGTATATTTTCGTAATATTTTATTGAACTCATACATTTATCATAAGTATGGTTTAACTATAAATTATATAAAACAATACTTTTATTTTTATAATATAATTAAACACTATTCGACTCTAGAAAGCTCATTTCTATATGACCATATCATATTCCTATTTGCTCAGCCAGCACCACCATATATGACGTATAATATGTTACGTTGCAACCAAAACGCAGAAATATAACAAATTTATTGGGTAGGTACATATTTAAAATTAGTAGGTTAGTACTGTGGTGGAGGAAGTTTGTTCATCGTTTCTTCGGCCCTTGGGCAGGATAGTGTAATTTTACAATATTAAATTTGAATGCAATGATTACATTCGATAAAAAACAATTCTGAGCGGACTAAAGAATATTTATTATTTTATTAAATTTTTAAATTTTAGTTGTTTCTATGGTGATAAAGAAGGCGTTGGAAAAAAATTTTGTCGAAATATTATATATACGCATAACGTTCTAAATAATTTAACAATCGTAAATCAAACACAGGTAATGTTCAATTAGTTATCCGCTGAGAGTAAATTTGTTATGTTACCCACAAAATAAACACCTGCACGGCTGCACCCCCTAAGATTTCTTGGCATAAATGCGGTTTAGCTCCCAAGCAATTTTTTGGAATTTTTTTTTTTAAATGTGTGATTTTGCATGCTTAATTTTATGGTACCTACTTTCTAAACTTTTCACAACACGAGCATTTTGCAGATAAAGCTTTGGTTTTTATGTACAGAGGATCACGTAAAAAGTTCAAGCAGCCAGTTGCGTTTTATTTGACTAATGGTAACATGGACAGTACAAATTTATCAATAATTATCAAAGAAGTTATTAAAGCAGTTCAGTCAACAGGACTTAAAGTAGTATCTACCATTTGTGATCAAGCTCCAACAAATGTTGCAGCAATTAACCGATTACTTAAAGAAACAAATGAGAAGTATGCAACAGAAGATAAAGAAGGTCGAAGATTTGGTTTTGAAATAGGAACTCAAGGAATTATACCTCTCTATGATGTACCACATTTGTTGAAAGGTCTACGAAATAATTTAGTTTCAAAAGATCTTAATTTCACATATGATGATAAGCAGATGATTGCATCATGGAAACATGTCATTGAATATTATGAACTAGACAAGAACCAAAGTACTGGAGGGGATCGTCTAGCCCCAAAGCTGACAGATCACCATATTTATCCTCAAAAAATGAAAAAAATGAAAGTTTCATGTGCTGCTCAAGTATTTAGCCAAAGAGTCGGTGCCATTATGAAAAGGTTGCCTGTGTTGTTGAATACATCAAACAATCAGAGTCTACAGAAAAAAGTTCAATCTACTGTAGAAGATACCGAACACTTGTGTTTATTCATAGGTAACTTATTCGATGTGCCAATGGCAATACAATTAAACCAGTTGCTGGAAAAGAATTGCGAAGTGCAGTTACTTTAAATTGTGTACATTAGGACTTCTGGCGTAAAGCTTTAATTGTTTTACAAAGTATGCAGTATGAGACAAAAACCAGAAAAGTAATTCCTTCTGTTGTAAACTGGATTAAAACTATTAAAGGATTACAAGTACTTTCCAAAAGGCTTCTTAATGATGGGTTCAAATACGTACTGTTAAGAAATTTTAACCAGGATCCAATTGAAAACTTTTTTGGTTCGATCAGGAGCCATGGTGTACGTAATATTAAACCAACATGTGCCAATTTTATAACCTCATTCAAGGCACTAGTTATTAATAATTTTACTTCAAATCATTAATTTGGGTCCAACTGTGAAAATGACGACTGTGATGGAGCATTAGACAACTTGAAGGAATTTATATTCAATGACATCCCGATTGATGACACTAATTTAGTGGACGACGAATTCAATTCAATTACTTTGAAGACTCCAGTTCAAGAATTTCGAACTTATCATATACTGAATTCAAATAGCAGAGCCTATGTTACTGGTTGGGTCATCAAAAAAATTAAATAGCTCACAAAAAATTATAATTGTTGCATGAAAATTATAACATCTGACCAAATATTAAAAGAACATATGGTGATAGAAACTCTTCAATATGACAACTGCAACTTGAGTTATCCAAATGATGCGGCAATGGATATTTTTAATTATTTAATAGAAATGTTTAATCTCAATTTTGATAAATTTGTATACAAGTGTAATTCTAAGGCGTCTTATAACTATTTAATTTCATATTTTATACCATCTAATTATTTCACTTGTCCAGAACATGATTTATTTAATATATTTTTGAAGACTGCTACTAATCTTCTAATTTATTCTTATATAACTCACATAAATAGAATACTGACTAAAGGTGAAAAATCTGTAACATCTGATCAGATAAAAAATAATGCTATGGTGTACACGAGAAATATGCAAAAAAGAAAAATGTAAATTATGTATAGTTAATTTTGTAAAAAAAAAACATTTGTTTTATATGTATAGTTAATTATGTAAATAATAATTTTTAATATTGTAAAAAAACATTTGTTTTATATGTTATTTTAAAATATTTAAATAAAAATATAATTTTACCTTGAAAAGAATTTTTTTTATGGAAAAACTTGAAAAAGGGAATGGTAAATATAAAATAAAAATCGGTTCATTCGATAATCGATAAATAATGTTATCGATATACAATTATATCGATTTCTATCTACTATCGATAGTCAAGGTCTTAGTTGGTAAGACAACAACGTCCACGTGGAGCGTTTGCATCAATGGTCATATCAAAACGTTCTACAGGAGTCGTACGTTCTATAGTCTTTCTATTTAATCTCTTTTCTATGGTCGTACGTCTCGTACCCATGCTGTTACTATTGTTAATCCTTATGAGAAATTATTGAGCAGGCTGTCTCCATAGATAATATAAGAATCCTTATATTATCTATGGCTGTCTCAACGACACCAGTTGCAGGCTCACTTTTTATGAACTTAGCTGACGTATTCAAAACATCAAAAAACGTATAACAATTACCAGAGCAAATCATAAAATGAATACAGAACATTCAACATAATGACAATATTGCACAGGTGACACATCAATTTATTTAAAATATATTATGCATTATTTTTTTTATAAAATATTTAAATATTTAATTGCGTAATCTATATTATCAGAAAAAAAATGATGATGAACAAAAACAATGAAATTGTACAACCTGATCAAAAACAAATAGTTGAGTATAAATCACAATATTTGCAAAATTTTGATCCAATCGACTTTCTAGGAGAAGGAGGTTTTGGGATTGTATTTGAGGCTAGAAATAAATTAATGGACGAAAATTATGCTATTAAAAGGGTAACTTTTCCATCACGGTAAGATGATACTATTTATTATGATTAGAGTGCAGATTTTACGCAATTGCATATTATTGGGTTTTTTACTTTTTTTCTGTAATTTTCATGACTCATAATAGTTTCAAGCTAATGACAAAAATGTATTTTTGGCATAAATTCACTTTAGCTACCCAGCACCTTTTAAATTTTTTTTTTTTGAAATAGATGTACTTCGAAGAGTTAAGAACGATGGTGCAAAAAAAATTTGGGAGCTGGTAGTTACCCTGTGACCAACTTGAGGTGGTGTTGCACAGCAAGTCAGGGGATATTTTCGATTTGCGAAGCGGAGCGACGGCGCCGAGGAGCGTAGCGACTAGTGCCGCTAGCATGGCATCACTGTACGATGTTTTTTCAAATTGGTGGCCCACTTGGGGAGGTGTTGCATAGCAAATCGAGGGATATTTTCGTTTTAAATTATCCGAGCGAGCGCAGCGATCGAGTGACCCCGCTCGGTGCAACAAAAATGTAATATACTCATTAGCCTGTTGTCTACCTGTAAATAATTGAAAAACAACTTAATATAGGTTATTCGGAAATAAGACGACTCGATGATTGAGCAAATTGTGATTGTATACAAAAGAAACTCAAAATTAATTATGTTATGGACGTTGGCACGTTGCGCGAGGCATTATAGTAGTGTTGCGCGCATGCGTATCAACGTACAATCGCAAACTTTGGATAGCTATAACTTCCAAAATAATGGTTTCCGCAAAATTTTTTTTTGCACCATATCGTTCTTAACTCGTCGAAATACGTCTATTTCGAAAAAAAAATTTTAAAAATGTGCTGGGTTGCTAAAGTGAATTTGTTCCGACTTTCCTATCGAATTCAACTTTTTGGATAAAATAATAAATATGTACTTAATAACGTATGTGCATAGATTTGTTTTATTATTAACACTTTTCTTAAGTTCGCTTTCACGTCCGTCTGTAATCAAATCTTGCGCGCTTGATTTGAGGCACTTTTTGAAGATGAAAAATTCTGAAAATTGGTATAGACCTTGGTCTTGGATGACAATACAATAATCCGTAAAAAAAATTTTTTAACTAAAAAGTAGAAAATTAAAAATTAAAAATTTTTTTTTTAAAAACACACTTTTCTAAAAAAACAAAAAAATAATGAAAAATTTAAAAGTGTGTGGCGCTCTTACACTTGACATATTATACCACACACTTTTAAATTTTTCATTATTTTTTTGTTTTTTTAGAAAAGTGTGTTTTTAAAAAAAATTTTTTAATTTTAATTTTATTTATTTATAATAGAGATGAATGTAAAGACCGTGTTAAGCGTGAAGTTAAAGCATTAGCAAAGTTAGAACATGCAAATATCGTAAAGTATTTCAATGCTTGGATAGAAGAACCTCCTAGAGGTTGGCAAGAAGAACAGGATAAAATGTGGTCAATGTGGATGTCAAAATCTGAGTATGATACAACAAGTGACTCTCATAGTGAGAGAAAAGAAACTATACAATACTTGTACATACAAATGGAACTTTGTCAGAAAAATAGTTTAAGTAAATGGTTGCTTCAAACTAAAAATAGGGATATAAAAGACATTTTAAGGATTTTTGGCCAAATTACAAAAGGTGTTGAATTTATTCATTCAAAAAGTCTCATACATAGAGATTTAAAGGTATGAACAACAATTAGTTATTATAATTTATAATAATGTATAGTAATATTGATTGTAAAATGTAAAGGTATAATTTAATATGAAATTGAGAATTGTGAACTCTAAAACGTATTTATTTATTTTGTAATATTTCTATTGAAATATTTTACTATTTAGCCATTACATTTTTTTAATAAAACTTATAGAATTTAAAATTAATTCACCTAGCCAAATAATTTAAACAACTTATCCAGTAATTAGTAATTAACTATAATTTATTTTATTTTAGCCTTCAAATATATTTTTTTCATTGGATAACCAAATCAAAATAGGCGATTTTGGTTTAGTTACAGAAATGATAAATTCTGATCCAGAGACTGAATACGATGATAATCAACATACTGCTCAAGTGGGTACACAATTATATATGAGTCCAGAACAGGTAAATAATGTTAAATAAATGTAGGAATACCTAATTATTTTTAAACAAATATTACAGATACGTGGAGAATCATATGATTTTAAAGTAGATATATATTCCCTTGGCGTTATACTTTTTGAGTTGCTCAATTCTTTTACTACTGATTCTGAAAGAATCAAAACATTACAGGAATTAAAAGAAGGTAGATTGCCTGATCATTTTTTTAAAACGTTTAAAGAAGCACCTGCAGTAAGTGAACACCTTTAAAATTAAATAGAAAATAATTTTTCGACTAAAAATTAATAATTATTTTTGTTTTTAGATAGATTTTATGTACAATATGTTATCGCCAATTGCCAAAGTCCGTTTAAATGCATCAAGAATTATAGGTATCCTTATAATGAAATTTGGCCAGTTTGAATTACACACCGGGCCTGGTATGGTGAATTTTAATAATTTATTCGGATGATTTTCCAACTGAACATAATATGTTTGATTAAAAAAATTAGCAAAGTAATGGAATTTTAATAAAACACATAATATACAATTACCTAATACCTAGAGTCTTTCTTTAAGTCTTCATTTTTGCTTACCACGTAACCACAACGTGTGTGAAGTTGGGTGACCAAAGCTAGGTGACCAATTTTTACTGATAAGAAAACTTGTATGCTCGGTTGCATTACGGTATTTTCTAGGCGCACAACGTTTATATTGCCGTTTGTATGTCTACTTCTATTTCTAACCACAAGATAGCAGTAAAGAAATTGTCACGAAATATTATAGGGTCACCTACCCATCATAGTATTGTAAAATGACGCCGCGAAGCCAGGACATAGCACTATACATGACAGCCATACGACGCGTAACGTATAGAAGGGCGTGGTTTTGATTTTTCCGGCAGTGTTCTGGAAGGAGTCGAAGGACTTAACATAGATATTCGGAAAGCCAGGAAAATTTACTACCCGACGAGATAAATTCCAAGAACCACCGGGCTTTCTAAGTAACCGTACTTAGTAAACGAAAGCGCCAGGTGACTAATGCCGGTATGACGCGAAACGTATACGCGCGCGCGGTTTTTGATTTTTCCGGCATTGTTCCGGAAAGAGTCGAAGGACTTAACATAGATATGTTTTTGAATTTTTAATAAATTTAATTAGGTATTATGGAAATATTAAGGTAGTAGTACTATACTACTATAAGTTATAATCACGGTATTCGGGATGCTAGCTTTAAAATTCAGTGTATCTAGTGTATCAGGATTAGTTTTAATATATGTATTATATTGTCTACTGCCGCCACGTACTTAGGTACTAAACAATTTATTATATCATTCAAACATTTTGATGATTTTATTTATTTTTTATTGATGTTTTTATAAGTTGGAATTATTAAAATAAACATAAATTAATAAAATAATAAGTCCCCCACGAATTTAATAACTTATAATTTTTAACATATTATTTTATTATTTATAAATAGTTTTTTGTTAAAACATTATAATACAAAAAAAAGGAAGAGGATAATCTGATTTTATTATTTTTAATGTTTAAAATTCAAATAAAAACAGCATTAATTTTAAAAAATCCTGATTTAAAAAATTTTGCCCTCCTCTGGGTTCCTATTACTTATGTCCAGGGCCCCACAATACCAAGCGCCGGCGCTGTGCAAATAGTTACTATATTATTTTCATAATATTCTGAATATCTGAAAAAGTGTTTGTTAAAATCTCGTTTCATTTGAATTTTATTCAATGACGTATATTTTGACAAATACGATTTCAAACTTTGTCGATTCAACACCATGTAAACTAAAACGTGTGTCGTGTATTACCAATGGGCAATGTTATTTTTTACAATGCATCTCGTTTAAAAAATATGTGGTTAAAAAAAATTATGAATCAATGCAGTATTTTTCAAACTTTTGCTACGCTACCCGATTACCGGGCACAATGCCCGTTTTTTCGAGGGCAAAGTTGGAATAAAAAAGTTTACTTGAATAATATTATGCTTATAGCTTATGGATTAATTGTCTTCAAAGTTAAAATTATATAGGTAATATAAACCTAATTTTGTTTTTCGTAATTTCATTCCTGTGTAATTAATAATAATTATTGATTATTTCGTAGTTTCAAATATTTAAAAAATATATTATTCATATATACATATATTAAATTATAATTAATTAATATATGTAATATATTAAATTTATTATTCAGCAGATATATATTTTTTGAGAACTTTGATGCATCTAAATCAAAATTCGAACTAGTAGTTTCGAGTTACATGTATAACTTTGTGTACTAATGATAATACGTATAATATGGAAATTAGCTAAGTAGATTTGGGGGCTTAGATGATTTGAAAATGTTAGTACTTAGTAGTTAGTTGTTAGTACTTAGTACTAATTACCATTGATCTATCAAGATAAATAATTTGTAAAAATTATTAAGTAGGTATACTGATAATAGTGAATAGGTAGGTACTACATCTATTATTAGGTAGGTACTTATAGTTTTTAATTGTAAACCATATTCCAAGGATTATTACCCTACACATTTTATTAATTCAGCAACTACTTATTAGAATTTTGATTTAGATACATATATTTACAAGAACATCATATTATTATGAAAAATAATTTGCTGTAAAAAAAGGAAATTCTCATTTGAAAAATAGAAGTTTGTATAGTGTAGTAACCTGATTGGCTCTCACTTGATTGGTTACTGCACACTTCTTTAACGACGAATGCACGTACACGTCGTCGCAATGAATCGGAGGATGATGGTTGAAGTTAAGGTAGAATAAAGTATTTAACACAGAATGTAGTTACTTATAGAAATATGTTTATTAACTCGAAACTAATATAATAGTTAATTTTAAGTTAGTTTAAAATTTGTAGACAGAATAATAATTCTGCCGGAGAATAGTTGTAATTTTTTTTTTTTTTTTTATTTATTAAAATTAAAATGTATCTACATATTACATGTAACAACAAGTTAGTTATAAATAAATAACAATAACAATAGCAATTTAATTTAAAGTTATGTATATAATAATATTGATATACTGTGTGTTTGTGTTATTGATGTACGGAATATGTGGTGTGTGTGTGTGTGAGTGTGTGTGTGTGTTATGGAGTAGGGGTTATAGGGAGTGTTATTTTGTTTATTAGGGATGTTAATACAGTAAGAAGGGGGTTAAGTATAGATTTTAGTTCGTCGAGGAGTTGTAATTTAATTTGTACTTAATGTGGACGGCGATGCGGCTGTTTCTAGTCCGCGACCCACACAACTACACAAGTATTGTAAAGCACTGGTAAGTGGTAACTACATCTATGTCTAAAAAGTCTGTGAAACAGGGCCCCTATTTATATGAGACATGCCCGGGATTTAGGAAAGGATGATTGACGTCATAGGAATGGCGTGATGCGTAGTCGATCAGTATTAACCAATGAGGCGGCAGCCTCAGTGGCCTATTTTGGTGGCGTGATGTTGTTCAGGCCACCTAACCTTTGGAACGCCGTTTTTGTGCAAAAACGTCGGTTTACTACAATAGCCACAGGACACTCTTTAATAGTGATACAAAAAAGGTGGGTAAGTGGATGTCGCTCTGCTGTACAGTAGGTTACAAGTGGGTCACTGTATAATGGATGCTTTTAAATTTGAATTCAATGATACAATATCATTGTATAAGAAAAACGATTCTGAGCGAAGACGGTATGTCAGTCTAGGTTTAAGACAAATTATATACATATCTATGGTAAAAAAAAAAATTGACGTATAATAAATTCCAAATTAATCATATCACATTATCACAATTGACAATATCCATTAGGTACTTATAACACGTTATGTCGTTATAGGTACATCAACATCAATAACAAACCCTGATACTATCATAGATATATAATAGTACACTTTAGAAGTTTCAAGTAGGTACCCACGAATAATATTATATAATCACAACAAAATAACTAGGTTTTTTAATATATAATATCGTCCAAATTTGAACATAAAATGATTATAAAAATAAACTGTGATTGTATATTTTTTAGATTTTTCGGTAAGAGAATTAACTACTTACGTGGAATCTTGTTTTAAATTTTCAATCCTTAGCTATAAAAACTGAACATTTTATAATTTATTAATTACCTACAATGATTAATCATTTTCGAGATTTTGAAAAATTCTGTCAAAATTCGATGTTTAAATGCTTATAAAAAAAAATTGTGCCTATATAATTTTATTTATTTTCAACTGATATTGTAACAATATATCAGGAGCCTTGTATTAAATTTTTACACTTTTTGGCCCAACAGATAAAACTTTATTGATATTCATAAAAAAAAAAAATAAAAAAATTGAAAGATTAAAATATCCGTAAACAGCTCAAAAAGAGTCAAAATATTTTCAAAATTGTATGGTGTATAGGAAATGCTAATATAAACATTCAGTGAAATTTTCACGTATCTACAGTAATTCGTTTTTGAATTACAACAAAATATGGAAATCGTTACATGAGAAATCGAGTGAACGTCCAATGTTGTAAAAATTTGAATTTCAAATGCTCATAAAAATTTAATTAGACCGTCCGGTAGAGATTTTTTTTATTGATAAAGGTAGACAAACTTATGAGTAATCTTGTATTACATTTTCAAATCTTAGATTTAAAAAGAAAAATTTTTACGAATTCTTAACTCAAAATAATTTGCTAATTTTCGTGATTTTTCCATATTTTGTCAATTTTTGAACTCTAAATGCTTATAAAAAAAAACTGTGACTAACGATTTTTAATATTTTTCATCTGCCTTTGAAGCAATAAACTAGGAGCCTTCTATTAAATTTTTCAAGCTTTCGCAACCAAAAAATAAAATTTTATTGATATTTTTAGAAAAAAAACTAAAAAAAGATGGAAAATGAAAATGTCCCTAAACAGTTCAAAATAAATCAAAATATTTTGAAAACGTTATCGTGTATATAAAATGCAAATATAAACAACCAGTGAACATTTCATGTATATACGTTCATTTCTTTTAGAGTTACACCAAAATACAAAATCGATTTTTTGGAAAACCGATTTTGAGTAAAAATTCCCGTTTTTCCTTAATTTTTATGTTGTTTTTCGCGGCGCTTGTGAAATCTACTGGGAAAATTTTACTTTTGACCCCCCAAAGTACCAACTAGATTCACTTTCCTATCAGGAAGGCTTATAATTTTTTTATGAACAAAGAAATAATAACGATGGGACAAAGAGTACAAATAAGCACTAACTTAATCTAAACCAATCTTTAACCAAGTGTTTTACTACATTTTAAGGTCTATTTTGATTTTTGAGTTGTTTAATCAAGCGTATTACGTATTTCCTTGGTTAACTTTTTTAAAAATGTTTTCGTTTTGGTTTTTGATTTAACAGTTAGGGATACGAATTTTTTCAGTAAAAGTGAAAATGATCCATATACGCCATTTAGTTATTTCTAATAGTTTTGCAAGATAAAAACGTATATTTGAGAATTTTGATTTTCACAATAATTTCCAAAATTTCAAAATATTCAAGCTAGTTTTTAGTGGTTGGGGGGGGGGGGGTGAAATTGGGGAAAGTGAACTTACCAATCTCAAATAGACATAATAACGAATTCAAATTCCCTTTTTATCTATCTTTTCGTTGTATATCAGACCATACCTACAATTACTTATCTTTATTTACTTTAGTTTATATACGTTGTTATTTTATCTATTTGTATACATTTTGCTCATACTAACAAATATCATTAATGTTATATATCATACTATATTTTAATTGTTGAGCCATAATAGTTATTACTAAAGGCTAATAAAAAAAAAATAAAAAAAAAACGAATTCAAATTTGTTTTAAAAAGTTGCATACCTATATACACCTATTAATTATAATTATTCTACGACCGGGAACTGGAAAAACTACGTTTGTATCTCGCGTATTTTATACATTTCTAGTTCGGAACTAAAATATGTGCCTAAGACACTTGGATAGCACATTTTTCCTGACATTAAATATCTATTTTAATTCTTAAAAGAAAATTTAAGCCCCAAAAGAATATGATAAAACAAATTTACTTTAAGCATCAACTTTTTTCGGAGGAATCCGTTAGGTGTGTTCACTGCAGGAAACGCTGCAGAATACAGAACTTGAAATATTTTGGTTTATGAAAAATAAATAATTATACGGAACGCAGTAAGTTTTTTTCTCATATCTGCTTTGCTTATTGAAATTTTATAATTTTTAATCGGCTGTGTCTTCTGCAACGAATTTGAGATTTGTCATAGAATATAAATGACACGTATATTATATACACGGGTAAAGACAGCGGCCATTTTCTTTCCAAAGCCGATAAATGATAATATAGCTAGTCATGTATTTGTTAAATTTGTTTTGTGAAACCGAATTTTGGTAATTAATGAATAAAGGTATAGGAAAATATATATTTGAAAGATTATTAACGATTTTTCATAGACGCACTTGTTGTTTTGATAAATATTTGTATAATTTGTATTAATTCTGTATTAATTACAATAATTGGAAAGAAAATGGCGGCTGTCTTTACCTGTTCTTAAAGAGCCCTAGGTACCTACGTCAATATGATGAATCCCACGGATATAATATAATGAACATTTTTATATCAAAGAGGGTTAAGGAACAATTTTTTCATTGAAATTTGATTTGACAATAATCAAAATATAGTTTACAATTTTGAATTTGAATTATAATAATATCATATACCTATATTATTTTCGTTTATTACCTAATTTAATTATTCATTGAGATGGTGAATAGATATCAGAAGTATAAGCATATTTTTTTTTAAGCATATTGTCTTTTATGAATCATTAAATAAAAATGTGATTACTTTTAATATAAAAATATGCAGTATACCTAAGTACATCGAATTTACAGTACCTACTAATATGTTACCTATAATACCAACTAGATTTGTAAAATTCCAAGTCTAACATTTTCTACGAAATTGCCTATCACAAAGTTATTAATTATTATTTAATATTATGTTAATTCTAATTGTATCGGGTACATATTAATATTAATATTTTAGATTCTGAGCGGAGCGATGAATGTTTTGATTTCACTATGAGGCGTGTATTTAATTTATTATTCTTTGTCGTGGTTGATGTGTAGGTACTCGATAAGAAGTCGAAATAAACTTTCGTTTTCCATACATAATATATAATAATATTATACTCTGTTTGTAACCATATAATTGTTTATTCTTAAGTTCATTGTATTTAGTAAATAATAATATAAGAAATTGTATTTTTGAATAATAATTTATTGTTGGTATTAAGTACTTACACCATAACATTTTCAATTATCATTAAAATAACAAATTTTATCAAAAATTTAATTTTGGTAGGTGTTTTGTGTAGTTATAATAAATGTATTTTTGATATTTTTAGGCTACTGTGAGATCAATTTATGAGAATCCTTGCATTAAATTGTTTTTCAGAAATAATCATTTTATATCGATCAAAAACTATTTACAATATGAATGTTAATAGTTAAAAGCTATTATAAAATATTTGACTAAATACAATTTCGTATCAAAAATCACCTTTGTCCCTTAGAATTGAAGAATGAATCATTTTTTTTTTCTATAAAACTTGTACGCATATACAAAAAACACACGTCGTTGTAAAATCAATACATCCATTGTTTCATTCAGAATCTAAAAGACTTCACCTGAAAGTATAAAACGAGCACTACAGGTGTGCAGTATACAATACGAATCGAAACACAAATCCTTGTTCAGATATTGTCATTAAATACTTTAATAGTTTAATAGTTTAATATATTATAACTACGCTTATATATCAATAATATAATGGTCTTGGAAAAATAAACGGTCCCAAAATCCTAACGATTGTTGATTAGAACGTTGAGACCGTACTCGAGGCTGGCATGTAATAAACGTTGTCGTGAACTGGGCTGGATTGGTTAGGCGAGATACCGAGAAAATCTCGGTGGGCCTCTTAAAGTTTGGGCCGAGTGTGAGTGAAAAAAAAAATCGTGTTTAAAATACGATTGGCCACCTATAATAAGCTTATAATAATTATAGACGTAATTTTGTGCCACGAAATATTTAAATGGGCCGCTGATAGAAGTAAAAATCTCGATGGGCCGATACATTCCAATCCGGCCCCTGCGAGATACCTATTGTGCCTATGGATAATTATGCGAGGGGTTGCATTGCGCTTGCGCACATCGATAATCTAATTCGGTGACAAAATCATACGCAGTGGCTCCATCCATGGTATATGATCTATATGGTTAGCGTTAACCACAGATATAATATCTGTGGCGTTAACCGACACTTTACCGGACATTGTAAGAACGGCCCATACATGTGTAACATACATACCTATTAGATAATAATATAAGAATTCTTATATTATCTATGGTTATTGACACGAGATGAATATTGTGGTTACGAACATGACAAAATATTTTGTCATGGTTACGAAATTTAGTACAGCAGGCTGAGTTCTAGGAGTTTCCTTTTAGTATTACTAGCGCCGTCTTAGTGGATACTTATGGAACTAGAACACATCATACAAATTTCTAGTTCCATAAGTATCCACTAAGAAAACGCTAGTAATGCAAAAGGAAAATTCAAAATATCCCCCCGAACTCAGCCTGTTTACTACATTTCGTGGTCAACCCCCCACACCCTCCAACCATGTCGTGTCCAATCCTGTATATCTTAGTCAATATAATGGACTGGAAAGTACAGGGTCTGCGGGGATCAGGGGACGGTCATGAAAAGGTGTCACTTAGCTGTTAAGAACACTGTTCTTGAAGCTTTCAGCAATACCGGTGGTTTTATTTGGCTAATTTGTATCTTAGTCCGTGTTAGATACAGAGGGCGCTGTGAAAAGACGCCAAATGTTGGGTGACTTAAAATGTCGTGACTGAATAAACTTTAGATTTAGTCATGGTATAGAGAATCGCTCTACAGGTGCCAACATCAATCAGAAGCAGCAATGTCCCTGACAATTTACTTCAATTTTACAATATGCTACAAAATATGCACTTAAAATTGAATCGAAAATATTTAATTTAAAAAATAAGTATACTCTATGGTGGACCTCATGACCACAGTAGTTTAATTATTCTTTATACCGTGTCATTAGTAAATTGAGTCATGGTTGACCTATTCTGTGGTGACATCATATATATATATATATATATATCATAATATATAAATTATAAATATATATACCTATCTGTATTATCTATGGTGACATGTCAAAATAATAATATATGATAACATGAATATGGATAACATGATAACGATAACTGATAAGCCATATTTGCTACATAACATTTTCATTACTACTCCGAACAGTCGTCAAATTAAACTTAAAGAAAGTCTTTTAAGATAGCTGAAACTTTTATTAAGAATGTTCAAAAGGCTAAAAGGATCCATTGGGAAAAATGATGAACCGAAAACACCAAATTCTGTACCACAAGTAAGACCATAGTTTTAAATAAAAATCTGTTTTAATCTTGTTAATTTTGTATATAATTTAGAATCGCCCAACTTGGAGTGGCTTTTCTACAATATCTCCATTGAATCCAGAAATGGAAGATTCTCAATTTTGTATCAATGATGACATTGAAGGTAATTTCTAAATAATTTAAATGAACATTTCGAAATAATTTTTTTTGGTTTTAATTTATAGAAACGCCTAAGAATTCACCAGCTCGTGTTGTCGTCAGTGAAAGTACTACTGTTGATCTCGGTAAATTCAGCCAATCTTCCTCATCACTAGTGAATGATCATCTTTCGTTTCATGTATGTTGGTATATGTAACTACTTTGCAATAGCCATATGCAATTAATAAAGTTTTATTTTAGACCGATATTGAATCAGCAAGTGAAATAGATGATAGTGTAAGTGTTGTGTCTGAGTATGCAAATGAAATTACAAAAGAAAATTTATATGCCGCTTATAAAAAACTTCACGGTCGCTATCATAAACATAAGTTTAAGTACACTGAATTAGCGGATAAATTCAAACAAACAGTTACCATACACGATAAAGATAAAGTAATGTAAATCAAGATACTTAAATGTATTTTTTGTTTCATAATTTGATCTTTTATTGTATTTTCAGATTACCATGACAAAAGCTCAAGATAAACTACTTCAAAGGATTGCAGAGCTTAAAGAACAGTGTACCTTGGAACAAGCTGCCAAGGCCCATATGGAAGATGCATTAAGAAATGATATAGAAGAAAGAGATCATATTATATCTACTCTTAATACCAAAGTAAATCATTATTTTATCTTTTGTTAAGCATATCAACAAATAGGTATAACAATTAATAACAATTTAGAATTTTTCATAAATTACAGTTGTGATTTGTGAAAGTTTATTTGACCTAACATATGTTATAAGTAGAGGATGTTTTGTGGATATATTCAAATGTAATTTCAATGTAAAATTCCCAAGAAAATATTCTTGATGCATACTTTATATTCAGTTCTACATATAATAAATAATTTGATCTCTTATAAACAAGACTTGGAAGTCTTAGCACTAAGAAATGTTAGATTGTCAATTAAATGGTAAAAAAAAAAGAATTTTTAAAATTTAAACCTTTATAAATCATTGGAATTTAGTGTATCATATTTGTTGATAGATACAGTCGTTGCCAGATAAATTGAGCAAGCGGCGGCGCGATAACGGAAAACCAGTGGTTTTCCGTATTTCAATATTATTAGTTATTACCGAAAATACATCAATAAACCAACAATATTGTTACAAAAAATATTTTACGATATTAATTTAAAATTGTTTGCACTGAGCCGGGGTCGAACTGGTGAATGCGCGCGTCGTAGCCAACTGTGTGACCTATGCACCACACTGCCAGCAACTAGTTTGGGCTACACTTACTGAAAAGCGCCGCCGCCGCCTGCTCAATTTATCTGGCAACGACTGTACTCATTGTTTTAAGTAGGGAACTGCATGAAAATAATAATTATCTTTAATATATTGATGGCTCTGTTCTATATATTTCCATTAATTAAAATTCTAGATTTAAATATTGTGTTGAAAATTTAATAAATATGTTTATTATAATTAATTTATGAGAATATGCCTACAATTAGTAAAAATTCTAAATTAGGAAAATGGCTTTAACTATTGTAAGTATCCCAAAATAATCAAAATTATTGTTTGTATATCATGACATTGGTGAATTTTGAAATAGTTTTTTAACCATGTTTACATTGTTCAAACAATTGTTTACTATGTTAAAATATGTACCAAAAAATATACGAATTTATGTCAAATTTATTGCTTGTACATTAAAATTATACGTTTTACATTTAAATATTAAGTTATTAATTGTTTGTTTTAGAAATTAAGGTACATAATATTTAATAAAAAAGGGATTATAATCGATTATATAGTATGGATATAATTATTCATTAAATTGTACAGGTTCTAATGTTATAATGAAAATTAGACTGGTAATTAATAATAAACCGATAAAAGTAGTAGTTATCAACATTAGTGTAATTAATTCAGTGTTTGGTATTAACTGTATTTTAAAAAAATTATTATTTTTTAGATCGATTTGCTAAGGAAAAATAGTTCTGACGAGTCTGAATCAACTTCTATTTTATCTGGTGATTTATTGGTACACATTTTATTTTTTTTGAATAACAATAAATACAAATTACAAAATTAAATATGATATATATTTAGGCTAAGTGTGAACGGTTGAATGATGAATTATCTTCAACAAAATCAGAATGTGCATCACTAGAAAACCAAATTGAGTTGTTAAAAAAAAGCGAAGAGATTACTTTGCTTAGTTTAGCCGAAAATAAAATGGCAATCCATAAAGAACTTGAAACCAAAGAAGACCAAATAAAAAAATTAGAGAAAACCATAAATGGACTACAAATGGAAAATCAAATATTATTAAAAGGTTAGTGTTAAATAACTTGTGTATTTATAAACTAAAATTTAAATTTATCGAATCATTCTTTCAATATTTTATGAGTTTAATTAATTATAATTTCCAGAAAAAGCTAGTCATTTGTCTACTAATTCATATCAGGTATAGAAAAATTGTTCTCCTTCCACTAATTACATATATCTTATTTTATCAATATTTGTTTTATTTTTTTTTAATTCATTATTATGTATTATTTCATGGTTAGATTAATATAAACCAGAATGTTCAAGAAGAAATAACTAAGCAACTTAATGAGCTTGAAGGTGAAATGTCTTCAGCATTTGAGTTTAAAGAAAATGAAGTGAAAGAGCTAAAGAATCAATTAAAAGCTTTTGAACAACGTTGTGAAGTACAAGAGCAAAAAAATATTTCCATGGAGGAAGTTTTAAAGAATAAAGAAAACAATTATAAATCAGTTATCTCTAATTTAGAACAGAATTTAAATGACATTAAGATTTCATCTTCAAAGAAAATTGATACGTTTTTAAAGGAAATCGGTGAAAAATCACAAGTAATTAAAAATTTAACAGTTAAACTAAAGGAAATAGAGAAAGTTAAACAAGATTATGAAAAAAATAAAAATGAAATACATGATTTAAAAAATCAAATTCTTCAATCTAAAAAACTTGTCAAAGAAAATGAGTTAATTCGTGTGGATGAACAGAATAGATGTATAGAAGAATTAAAACTGAAATCAGAAGAAATTTCTCATTTTAAAAATAAATTAGAATTATTACAACATACCATTAAAGAGAATGAAAAAAAAAACTTAGATCTTCAAACTCATATTGATGAAATAAGTTTTAAAAATAAAAGCCTTATGGAATCTGAAGAAGAATTAAAGATGACAATTTTTAGTTACAAAAAATCCAATGATGAGTTACAAGATACTATTAAATTGTTACAAAAAGAAAAAGAAATTGTTGTTGATTCTATGAAAACAAAAATGGATGAAAATCAATTAGAAATTGAGAAATTAAACAACTTAAATAAAGAAATGTTATGTCAATTAAATCAAGATAAATTAATTAAAATTTCTGAAGAACGCAGTATCGAGTCTGTAATTAAAGATTATAATCTTCTTACAGAAGAAAATGCTTATTTAAAAAAAGAACGACAAAAAATGCTCCAGACCTTCCAAGATATGCTAAAAAATATTAAAGTTGACTTTGGAAATCTTAAGTCCTTTGCAGAAGAGCAATTGAAAGAGTGTTCATTGATATTTGTCAAACATATAAAACATTTGAAGGCTGAGTATTCGTCTAAAATTAAGTTGTACCATAATAATATGACTGAAACAAAACGAAAGTTAGAAGTAATTCAAAATGCATATTTAATATTAAAATCTGACTGTGTTCAAAGTCTAGATTGTTTTAAAATTGAAATTGAAAAATATAATGAAAGTGTAATGCTTCTAATATCTCAAAATAATAATGAACTAGAAAAAAGAAACATAGATTTACTTAGACTTCAAGAAGAAATAGAAAGTAAGCATGACATATATTTTTACTTATAAAACACTTTCATTGGTTTCTTTTATTATTATTTTTTAAAACATTTACAATTTGTATACACTATACCTACACGCCTATACTCTTTACCAAATGAGAGCGCACCGCTTTGGCGCATTCAAATGAATCGCGGAGTGACGTCCGGACCTCCTGGCCATTATAATGATTGAACTTTTTTTTTAAATAAATTATTTTAAATATTGTTATATATATATATATATATATATATATATATATATATCGGACTATTTTACCTCTGACCTTGGGCTATATCCTGTGGGCGCACTTGCCTCGGAATTTCATTCCCCAGACTATTTAGGCTTAGGACTTATCTACTGAGGAATTTTTATGCCTTAAGCTTTTTTACCCGGACTTTTTTACCGCAATTTGTAAGTGGTTATAAATTATTTAATGGCTCATGTGGCTATTTACGTTGACACAACAGGAGGGTCGTCTGGTATTGTGCAAGCTTAGAGTTTTTTTTAAAATAAAGGTCTTTTAATATTTCAAACATAACATAATATGTTACACAATATTTTAAATTCTCTTTTTGAAAATAAAAACTGAAAAAATATCTGTCATCCATTTAATTTGTCCTTGTAAATAACATTTATGAAACATTTAACACTGTATTAAAAAGCCACAATTTTACTATAATATATAATATATTTTTTTGTATAAATATATATTTTATAGTACCTATTAAATATTAATTAGTATTATATTTAATTATTTAGGCTATAAAAAGAGTGAACACCGCTCAGTGAAAGCAGAAGTGAAGGAAACCATACAGGAGTTACAAGAATGCATAGAAGTACAAAAAAAAACATTTACAAATTTACAGAATGAGTATTCTAATTACCAAGTGGTTAGTGATGATAGTTTAATAATATATACTAATAATTACAATTATTATTGATTAATAACTACTTATTTAGTTTATTTTAATTAAGTATATTTTCTTAGAGTGAAAAGAAAAAATGGACAGATAAGCTAATAGAAACTGAAAATAAGTGGTTGGAGAAAATGGACAACTACAAAAAAATGATGGATACAGAGCACAGAGAAGAAGTAGAAGCTTTAACTAATGAATGGACTAATGAACAAAAAGTTAATAAAATAATTTATAATGATTTTTATTTTTTATTTTTTTTGTTTATTTTATTTTTTGTTTCTTTTTATTTATTTGCAGCATAATGCACTTTCTTTAATGACTGCTGATAATGAAAATGAAGAGGTGCTTTTTTTATTTTATTTTTTTTTTTTTTTTTTGTTTTAAACATTTAAAAATGTGTTTAATGACGTATTAAAAACATAATTTTATGTTGTTAGACTCTTGAAAAAATTATTCAAGATGTTGAAACCACTTCACAACGAGAAGAAGCTCTTCAACGTCAAATAACTAAACTCAATAAAGAACTCTCTGAATTAAAAAAAATGTACAGGTAATTTAATAAATATTATGCTTTTATTCATGCTATATTTTAACACTATAATATTATTTTCTCCATAGAAATGAAATTCATAATAAACATAGAAATAATGAAGGGGACGATGATGATAATGAAGATAATAATAAAGATGGATGTGAAATGGAATATTTAAGAAATATTTTATACGAGTATATGATGGGGAAGCAGCCTATGGTAAGAAATAAAATTTAAATTTAAAATTTGTCTATTCATCTAAAAATTAGTTTTTAATTTTGTTACACCTAAAAAAACTTTTATTTCTAATTTTTAGTTTTTTGTAATGGGGTAACTAATTTCATAAAAGATCTGACAAAAAAAAAAATGATTCTGTGAAATGATGCTAAACATGCCTATGTTTGTCATTTATGTCATCCTCTTAATAGTTAATAGATACATTTTTATAAACTAGTGATATACTTTCATTATAACACTCAGGTTTCAGCATGTTCCTACCCTTAATATTTTCTGTACATAGTATTGTCGTTTAAATGTCCTTATAGTTATAAACTATGCCTAGATATATTTTTGTTATTAAGGTTAAAATATTGCTTATGTACTTCTAAATAATATTTTATGTACCGCTGATACTTTAATAGTCCAATTATTTAACTATTAAAAACAAGCATGAACAATTGTTGTTAGGTAAAAATAAGTATTACTAAATAACTGTTGGTCCATTTCACATATTTTGTCTATAAATAACCTTTTTTAAATATCTATTTCTGTTGAAATAGTCCTAGATTTGTTAATTGTTTAGAATATTATTAAGCCCTGAAATCATAAGCATACATGGCAAAAAGCTCGAATACGCTTAGGACAAATTATTTTAGTACTCAAATTTAACACCTTATGACCATGCCTTAAATTTATAAAATAACTAAGACTACATTCTATTAACATATTATATACATTTTTTCAATTTATTATAAACATTTTTGCAGTCATATAATACATATTTTTCAATATTTATTATTTGTTTGTAATAATTCTGCAGGTATTGGCCAAAGTATTAGCTGCTATAGTGAAATTCGACTCTAACCAGTTGAGTACAATACTACAAAAAGAAGAACAAAAAGTTTCTTTGGTAAATATATTATTTTAATAATTTTAATATTTTATGAAAAAAAAATGAATAAATATTTTTTTTAAAGTTAAAAACCCTAGGACTGTGATATTAACTGTCGAGAAGCAAATCACAATTGTTTTATTGTCATCTCAACTGTTGTTACCTACTCCACTACACTAGCATCATTCCATACATAATTTTTTTAAGCAATTTTTATCATAGTGCAATTATTTTATAGCAATTTGAATTTTTAATTTGTATTATATATCTTGTATTGTTACTAAAATAGGTAATTATATTATGTTATTATTAACATAGTATTTATTATATGTTAGGTTATCTTATTATTATATTCATAGGTAAAACTGTGGGTCAGCTAAGTTGAGTTAAGCCTGACCTCATGCCCTGGTAAATTCTTATATAACAACATTTATAATACTAATAAAAAAAAATTTGTCTGCACAATATTTCCATCTATATGAGTGGGTAATGTATACAGGCTTGGTATTATTCTTGGAATTTAATCATCACAAAACCAAGAAAGATATATTAAGACATATTTTTTTTTGTGCAGAGGGTAATTTTGATATATTTTGGTGACTAAAAAATGTATAGTTTTGCCTATGATTGTATTATTATTTTTGTTATTTATTTTTAATCTACAAACAATATCAAACAATTATTGTATGAATTAGTAATTAATTAAATATATTAAAATATTATTTATAGTTGTTTTTATACCAATTTTTAAACAACTTAGACTATGTATTAGTTTATATCCATCATCTTATAATTTAAAAATGTTATCAAGAAGAATATTAAATTGTTTAGTTATTGGTTTATTGGCTTGAAAAATACCACTTGTACATATTATTATAATGTTGTAGTATAATCAAATTCAACATATCTGAAATATCAAAAAGTTAATTGATATAAGTCATATATATTACGACATGTGCATATTTATTCACTATAATATATTTTAATAGTTAAAATTTTATAATTTTGTGTATTTTACAAACCAATTTTTGATTTTTAAGTGGCATTCCTTATTTATAATTCAATTATTTTTCTGATTTATAATACTGAAAATGTTATAGTTAATTAGTTATAAACATTCAAATCAAAATTTGGTTTGTTTTTAAATAGGTACAAAGAAAAAAGGTAATGTACTAATGTATAATATATTATACATTTATAGAATTTTTGTTCTGTAAAAAGAGATCATTTTTATAAGATAATTGATAAATATTCTGAAATAATAAATGTATTTTATGTTTACTTTTAAATAATTTAAACTTGGTACATAAATTGATAAAAATATTAAAACTTTCTAATATTGAAGTAATTTTAAATGTTTATATAATTAACAATAATAAATCATTATTTTATTTTAGTAAATATTGATGACCAACCAAACTATGGTAAATACTAAATAGTTAAAGAAATTATTCACCTACATTGAATTTGACTGTTTCTTGCAAACTTCAGTAAAAATATTGTAATTTTGTGAGTGCATTCCAGTAAACACCACAAAGGTCTACTATTAAATGATATGCTACATATTTACATAAAACTTACTGTTTAAAAGAATAAAAATCGATGTTAAGATATTCCAAACCTACCTATATACTCTATAGTATACCAAATGTCCATATTTACATTTGAGAAATACTATAATAGAATACATTTAAAAGGATTAATACGACTAATATCACATATGACAATAAGACTCAGATAATTCTTCAACCAAAGAACACTCATTATTTCAAACAATAAACGTTTTAAAAATTTTTTTTTTTACTGAATCGTGTAGGTCATTCATTGGCACAACTAGTGGGGGCGCAAAAGGATCTTTAGCACCCCCAAGTTCTAATTTAGTACATCTTGTTTATTTAGGTCTAACTATCATTATTATAGTGAAATACCATCAATTTTATATTTTTAAAATATGAAATAATTACCGAAAAATAATCAAAACTATTTTGGTCATTATGTTAATTTGTTATAAATGATTACATATTCTTATAATTGATGGATGTTTAGCATTACAATATATATTATGGACAAAATGGTGGATTGCTTACACATAATTTTTAGCCAACAGTTCACATCAAAAAGCTCTAAATAGATGATAGACTATGTATAACTGGTAACTTTTCAGTAAAATCTTAATATATTAATAAAAAGAATATTATACATATTATATATTTTTATTTTGTTTTTATCATTAATATGAAGTGTGTTAAAATGTGTTTAAAAAAGTTTTCAAGTATTGATTATTGTAGATTTATAACTTATAAGATTATATAACTTTGATAATAGGGGGTGTGGTGGACAAAACCCCACACGGTTCTGTGAGACATTTACAATTATTATAGCACCCCACGTTTTAGAGGGCTAGTTGTGCCTATGAAATCATTACAAAACAATATTTGAAAAAAAATTATATTTTTACTATTTTTTATTGTTATAATTTTTAAGTTTTTTTTACTTAAAAACATTTTTTGAGGTATAACCTTATTCTTAAAAAATTACATTTTCGAAGTGCTTTCGGTTTATCAAATATTAAAATCGAATTTTGGCCAAGTAGGTAGCTTACGACATAAATACTTAAATGTATTTAAACTTTGAAGTATTGATATTGGAATGGCCCTTAGTTGTTGGCCACTGCTTCGGCTATCTAAACTTAAAATATTGCCGCCTTGTCGGAGAAAGGGCACTCTGTGAGACAAGTCATTAAAGTTACCAAATAATATTCCGTTTAGGAAATAGGAATATTAAATTACAAATGTATGTTGTCATTCAAAAGATTAAAATATAACCTTAAAAATGTGTAAATATTAAATAACAAACTTTTATTCAATAATGTTGTTTTGTTACAACCTAAACTTATGTAAAAAATGATTTTCAAAATCGTTGAGTTTTACAAATAATGAGTGTTTTACGTTAAATTAATAGCCTGGTATCATGGGCATAAATATGTGCCTTATAAAGATGTGTATTAGTCAATGTCTGGTATATCAACGACTACGAATGAAGTATGAACCATTGTGTCACCTAAAATACTTTACACATCACATAATCACATGTAGGAAAATTTAATATAATTTTGTTCTCTTGTTAATAAAATTAAAAATAACTTAACTAGGTACTTTACTTCTAAAAAAAATTACTATTCATTATATTACTAATATAGCATTATTAATCTCTTATATTAAAACTTTATGGATCAGATTAAAATCAATTAGATTATTTTTATTCTGCAATTAAAATTATTCGTCGTGATACACATGCAACTACATTATTTAATGTAAAATTTATTATTTTATTTTTATTTTATTTTAATTAACTCAAGCCGAATCGGGCAGTTAGATAAATAATGTAAGGATACCTATATACAATGTTTAGTACTTATATATTAATTACAGAAGTTAATTGGATTAAAATGGACACAGATAAAAAAGAATTATAAATATATTTATATAAGTGGCCCAAGAATTAAGCAGCAGTTACAACACATTATTATGATCCAATTCTTATATTATTTTAACTGATTTTTTTGTTACTATTAATAAAATACACAATCTATATTATATATTATTATTTATTAACCATATTATATTATTCAACTAACTTACTGTTATATAATGCAACTTGGAAAATTACTATATTATCGTACTAATTTTTACATAATACTTAAAGTTTTGTGCTAATTGGTAAACAAATCTATTATTTGGGATATTTCCTTTTTTCAATAAATAAAATAAAATAAAAATAACAATCATATTTTTTTAATGTTTTACATAGGTACCTACTTACCCAAAACTTGCTCATGCATTAAAATATTGTAAAAAACCAATAATAAAAGTATAAAACACAGTTAATTTTGGCAATAGGTTAAATATCTCTAAATTTAAGCTAACAACACAAAATTAGAACAAATGAACTTAAATTTTGGTACTTGGTACCTATGTAATGATGGCACATGTTGGACAACCTCCTGTTAATTTGTGTTTTTAAGTTTTTCTAAGTTTTCATCAGTTAAATAGGAAACTCCCTAATAGGAGGCTAACGTTTCTAGAGCATAAATGATAAATCGGTACTGGTCTAGTTGACCTCCGCCAAGAAAGTATCCCACGCCACAATACAGGTTATTGGTTGACCCCATCACTTACTAAAATGTATAAAAAATGTATGGACACTGTTTAAACTTTTAAAGCATTTATCATACTGTATTTAATATTTATAGATTAAACATATATTTAAACTAAAAATTATACAAACTTCAGATGGTCAAAATAAAAATGGACAAAGTAGGTACCTATATATAAATAAATAAATTGTAAAAAGTAAAAAAAATACCTACATCATTCATAAATTATGTAGGTGGCAAAAAGTCTGCTGTCTTTCAGCATTTCATTAAACGGATCGTCATTACTTCGTCACACAAACTCTACCAAATAAGAATTTGGGAAATTTCTCTTACTCTCTCTTCGGTTCTTGTTGCCCCCATTTATCACTTCTCCATAGGCGCAAATAACGTTTGGGATTTGGGGGGGGCTAAAGCCTTACTTTGATAATATTGAATAAGCTTAAAACAAAATGTAGGAAATGTTTGGGGGGCTATGAACATTTGGGGGGGAATTAGCCCCTAAATCCCCCGTATTTGCGCCTATGGTGAACTCCTCTTATAGGATCCATAAAGTCATATTTGTGTTTTACTGTTAACTATTGAGTGATTATAAATCCCAAGCATAATAACCAGGGCTCGTAACTTCATGCACTAAAAAATGCATAAATAAGCATGCATTCATGCACTAAAAATTGTCAAAATATGCATTAAAATATGCACTTAAAAGTTCAAAAATATGCATTTATATGCATTAACATTTTTAAATTATGCACTCAAAATATGCATTATGTAAAAAAAACATGACCAAATTTTAAAATAATAAGAATAAATCCATACATTTTAAAAGTATTTTATTCCTCCTCATTTTTATATATTTAACAGTCAAAATTAATAAAATAAAAAATAAAATTAATACTTGTGAAGTTCAAATAGCTTTGTCATCTTTATAAATTTTAATTAGGTAGGTAGTC